AAAAAAAAAAAATCTTCAAATTCTAATACTTTTATTGACACTGGAGTCCACCCCAAGTTTAATAAACATACACATTTTGCCTTCCGTTTATTCCCAGATTGTTTTGGTCTATGGGATCTACCTTCTCCTTATTCCACTGAGAGCTGTTCAGTGTACTTTCTAGCCATTCAAACTGGTTGGCTGGGTCGGTCTTGTTCAGTGTCATTATATTTGGGCCGTAGTACAAGTTTGTGTTTAGACTGATGATCCTAAGGTTTGGATTAGTTGTAACTTTCTGTGAATAAAAACCGCCTATAAAAACAATTTTAAAACACATTTAGGAAGACATACACATACACACACACATTGTGAAAGCAAATTCCTGAGGTTTACAATCCAGTCAGGAGGTTGGTGCTTATTTCCCATTGCTTAGTTTGCACATAGATAGGCTGTCATTAGATCAGAATCAGATTTAACAAGCATTTACTGAAAACCTGCTATGGTGCCAGGCCCGGTGCTGTCACTTCCAACATATTGAGATAACAACAGTTGTATCTAATATTCACATGAAAAGATAAATAAGTGTTTGGGCAGTAAAGTAATGAGATTGAATTTTATGAAAGAATGATTTACACATCAACTTCTACTTTTGTGATTAGGGGTTTAAGATGAGAGACATTGTGAAATATAAAATCCAAAAAATGGTAACACATATGGATCTTGCTAGAGACTACTTGGAAAAAAAAGGCAGACAAACCACAGCTGCTACAATCTCGGGGGAGAAGAGGTTTAAAGACATCACTCCACCCATGCCTCTGAACCACTAGTGATGGGACACCCAAGGGTCTGCTGCAATGGCACTTTCAGAGCTAGGCACTAAGATCTGGCTCAGCTTTCTTTGCCCCGAGCCTACTCACTACGCACGGCTTTCCCTAGCTTTCAATCATGATTGATCACTGCCCCTTTAATTTTCTCTATTCTTTCTTGTAGTCATAACACCTTATTATTTTTACTACGGTATTAGCAGGGCAGTTGGGTTGGAATTTGTCAGAAGTTATTTTTGAGAAGCTGCCTTTCATGTCCTAGGAGGAGAAAATGACAACAGGTCTCACGAGGGCCTCTGAGATGACAAAGTTTGAGGCCCCTCATGCAGGGCATCTCGGCTCCAAATCACTTTTGCCTTTAAGACTTTCTCAGGATGCCTTCTACGACTTTTAACTTAATATTATACTCCAGTGTTTAACTGGAGCTTTGAGGGCTATCATTGGAATGGATATTATTATGAAACTCGTATGGTTTTTTCTTAGGGCCTGCATTCCACTTCTCAGCTTTTTTCTGCCTCCCCTGCTTTATGCTGAGTCTTCTTAGAAGGCAGAGCATTTCTTTAGGAATCTTGATCATTCTTTATGGCTCTCCCTTCAACCTGCACAAGCTCTCCATGTGTCTTGTAGGATGTGAAGTATAAGACTAGACATAGGCCGGGCATGGTGGCTCATGAGTATAATCCCAGCACTTTGGGAGGCCAAGGCAGGTGGATCTCCTGAGGTCAGAAGTTCGAGACCAGCCTGACCAACATAGTGAAACCCTATCTCTACTAAAAATACAAAAATTAGCCAGGTTTGGTGGTGGGTGCCTGTAATCCCAGCTACTCAGGAGGCTGCGGCAGGAGAATTGCTTGAACCCAGGAGGCAGAGGTTGCAGTGAGCCAAGACCGCACCATTGCACTCTAGCCTGGGCAATGAGTGAAACTCCATCTTAAAAAAAAAAAAAAAAAAAAGACTAGATATAGTTCCCTAGATGAATCAGAACCATAGTCTAATTCTAATCTATCATGTCTCAAATTCATAAATACTATGATTTGCTGCATGCTAGCAAAAACAATAAAAAAAAATAGTGGCAAAAGCCAAAGGGTTAACAGGAATACTGAAAGAAGTGTTTTAACCGAGAGAAATCTAGCCATTAACTTAATATTGTCTCAACATTCTAAAAACACCAAAGTCTTAGTTTAACAGCTGGGCACCTCACTTAAGCTCACGAAATGTCAGGGATTTACATAACGATGTGTCAAGAGCCACTGAAGCAGAGGGCCTTTAGACATGACCCAGGGAAGGCCTTACTATGCACTGATTATGCATTACTTTCCCAAGCACCTCAAAGTCCATGCTAGAAGCTTAATTATCCTCACTTTACCAGTTGTTTGTTTTATACAACTGTGCTGCTTTGTTAGAAGTTAGTGTCCATTCTCTTTTCTCAATCAATTTTCCAATTAGAAACATATACTTTTATTTACATTGAAATCCCAAGTTCAGCTTTTGCTCCATCGGGAACATACCTACCTAATTAAAAGCAGAAGAAAAAAAAAGAGTAGAAGAAGAACAGGAAGAGCTCCCTGCAAGATAAACAGGTTCGTGACCTGTGTCACAGGCAGCATTACTACTCACTGTCCCCCACAAAAACTGGGGGCTGCGCTCCAGAATTGGCACACTCAAGCAAACATTAACAATTTAAGTCTAAATAACATGAATAAAAACTGAGGCAAAATAGGAATAAGTAAGTCTTTCACTTACCTTTCCTTAAGGTACTAATAGCTTCTTCATCTAGCCATGGTTTCCAGAGGTTTGCTACTGCATTGTACACTTTACTGGTGACTACAGGCAGTTGATCCTGGCCATAAACAATATAATCCACCATTGAAATTTAAAGATACACAGCTGAATTAATGTAAACACTACTTGAGCACTGACTACTATGTTAGGCATCCAGAGATGCAAGGATGATTATTAGATAGATTTCATCTTCAAGGAATTATAACTTAGTTGGAGACTGGGGGACAAAATGTAACCACTTAACTATAAGACAATGTGCTGGGCACTACCCAGAGGTCTGGGAGCCTAGAAGCAAGAACAATCAAGTGTAGCCAAGGGCCAGGTGCAGTGGCTCATGCCTATAATCCCAGCACTTTTGGGAGGCCGAGGCAGGCAGATCAGTTGAGGTCAGAAGTTCAAGAAGTGCCTGGCCAATATAGTGAAACCCCATCTCTACTACAAATACAAAAATTAGCCAGGCGTGGTGGTGAGCACCCATAATCACAGCTACTCGGGAGGCTGAGGCAGGAAAATCACTGGAACTCACGAGGCGAAGGTTGCAGTGAGCCAAGATCGCACCACTGCACTTTAGCTTCGGCAACTGACTGAGGCTCTGGCTCAAAAAACAAACAAACAAACAAACAAAAGTGTAGCCCAGGGAATTAGAGTAGAAAGTGAAGAGACCATTTAAACCAGGCCTTACATAAGGATTTTATCAACTTAACAAAAGGGCATCAAAGCAAATTCAGTGGCCCAGATACAAACACAGGCATAGGCACAGGCACAGGCACGGAGTCCCATAGGTGTGTACCATGTACAGAGAAAAGCTCATGCTTTAGCATAGCGAGGATATAGGAAGGATGTGGGAGTGTGCTCATTAAAGAGACGCCAAAGGCAGGTTTGAGCCTGTACGTGCACTGCCTGATGCAGCATGCTGAGGGAACAAGAAAACACCATGGTTTAGAATTTAACAAAGTCTTCTGAACTGTTCAAATTATTATAAGCTTCTTAACTTTTTGAAGAAAGATTTACAACCACATGCTTTTGATGTGGATAAGACTCTTTATGGCAGCATAAATTATATCAAAATATTTTGATATTTTAAATAATACATTTTAAGTATAAAACATTTTTATTATCATAAAGTGTCTTCAGGATGACATAATCTCTAGTGTAGAAGTAAATGGGGACCCTCGCCTGGGGGAAAACAAACAAGACTTTAAGAAAGTAAATACTGAAGCAGGGAATGGTGATTCGTGCCTGTATTCCCAGCACTTTGAGAGGCTGAGGCAGAAGGATAGCTTGAGCCCCAGAGGTCGAGGCTGCATTTATCTATGCTTGTGCCACTGAACTGCACTCCAGCCTGGGTGACAGAAAAAGACCCTGTCTCAAAAAAACAAAAAACAAAAAACAAAAAAAGGTAAATACTGAATAAAAACCCAGAAATCATTTGTGAATTGGATAACTTTTTTAATTTTGTTTTTTAAAAAGTATGTTAAATGACTGAAGCCCCTTCTTCACTCTTTTCATTTACTTCTGTACATTGGTAAAATAGACCTATTTCTGAGAGGAGTTTATCAAAAGTTATTTTTCAAGAAGATGCCCAAGTCATAGTAGTTCTTGATGCATGCATCTAATACATGATGAATGTATAGATACATCCAGGGCAAGTAATAACCAAAAGACTTGTTTTAATTGGACTGAACATGTATTTTCAGTTTGTGTCCAAGATCAGGGTCGCCTGTCTAAGAATTACACAACAGCTTAGGCCAATCTAGATTCTCATTAAAAATTGGTATGCATCATTATCATCATATAATAAAAAGCCATAAAGTCTTGGCCATAAAGTCTTGTTTACTTTGGGATGGATGCCAAGTATGGTATGGTGATGGAAAAGCTTAGAATTATGGAAAAATCACTTTAGACTTTCTTCTCTATTTTAAAAATGAGAAATACAAGCACCAGAGAAGTTAGACGGCTGGTCCAGGTATAGGTGGTCAGTCTCAGGGCGGGTCTAAATCCCATGATCACTCTCACAGCCAGTTGTCTATTGCTACATGTTTCCTTCCCAATCCTTTTTGGCTGTGACATAACCACTGCTGAGAAATGAAGCCTAATGGAAAGTGACCCACCCACAAATTCAGTGGCACCAGTCTTGCCAGTGTAGGAGTAAATGGGGACTCTTCCTTGGGTGGCAACAGGAAGAATTCTCCAGGCTGTCCACACTGATACCTACTTCTGGTGTCATGGGTGGGGACATGCATCTGTATATGTATATTATGTAGCTATGCTGCATGAACATGGGATTTCAGTGGGAAAACAGCACTTATGAAATGTATTTGTTTCTAACATTCTCCAGAGTTAGATCTCAGACATCAGCCTCTAGGAAAACTTGTTGTGGAGCTTTCATGTTACATTTGACATTTCCAAAACTGTGAGGTGGAAAGATGGTAGTGGAATAACAGAAAGAACATTTTTAGATACCAGACCATAAGCTAGAAAGAGAAAAAAAAAATTAACTGTTAAAGGTATGTAGGCTGCCCAATTTACCCTAGCTGTATATATTAATATAATAGGATATGTTATAGAAGTTAGGTAGCATTTCTGTCTTTGAATTGTAAGATTTGACTTGACAAAAAGAGGACAGACATAAAAATAAAATGAAACAAATCCTCAAAGGAGTTACAAACATGTATCCCCTGTCACCACTTAATGTGACAATCACCACAAGTCCACTTACTGAGGGCTTATGCTGTGGCAGATAGTAAGCTATGCCCTTTTCATATCACCAATGCTCACAAAAACTTTACAAGGTAGGTACTATGGCTTCTATTTACAAATGAGTGATCTCCGCATCAGCGATGTTAAGTGAATCACCCAAGTTGGCCAAGCTATTAAAAGCAGGGCTGGGAGGGAGGTGTGGTGGTGGGAGGGAGGGGGTGGAAGGCAGGGCTGGTTAAAGATTTACATTCTAGTGACTATGACTCTAACCTCTGTGTTTTCCAATATTCCAGCCTTCCTGCCACCTAAGACATATAAACACAATGTGTGTGACCTTGGGCTGCTGGAACTCATTTGTTCCCAAGCCTCTGCACTGGGTGGTCTAATATCTCAACAGGAACAAAAGCTGTTTGTTTTTGCTGACTCAAAAAGACTCACATATTACTCATCTCAAGACAGTAGGCCAGGGCCAAGAAGTCACTTGAAAACTCAGCTTGTTCTAGAATACAACTCGTCAAAATTACTGTATTTAGGTTTGACTAACTAAAAATAATCAAAACCCCCATTCAGCATTCATTTGACATGAGATGGAAGATATTCTAAGCAAACAGAAAAATGTGGACACAGAGAGGCGTGAAAGTACATATGTTTGGGAAACATTACGTATGTTAGTCAGGCAAGAGCAAGAGATGTGCAAAAGGATGTTGTTTTAAGTGAACACAGATCTGAAGTAAAAAGATCTAGAGTTTGGGCTCTGCTCGCAATGGATTTTGAGCACTTGAACAAGTAATTCACATTTCTGAGCCTTCATTTTCTCACCTACAAAATGAAGGGTAGGTCTAGATCAGGGGTCAGCAAACTTTTTCTATCCATTTCAACTGCTCTGTTCTGAAACATGAAGCAATCAAAGGCAACGCAGAATGAATGGAAACATAGCTGTGTTCCAATAAAACTTTATTTACAAAATCAAGCAACAGGCTGAATTTGTACCACAGGAGACAATTTCCAAGCCCTGGACTAAACAAAAATCGCTGGGTACAAATCTAAAATTTTACACTACAACAGGATGCTGTAAACAGGACTGTTATCTGGCTGTTATGCACAGGTCGGTTCTCAAATAAAAACCTGTTGGAGCCAGGGGTATCTAGGCATTAAATGCTCTGAACACGGTCTCTGCTTTGAATCATGTCTTAATTAGATAAACTAGACTTGAACATAGACCTCCTTCCTCTTTGCTTCTTATGGTAATTTGTAATGTTTTTGTTTTTATTTATAGTCTAGCTTAGATCAGGGTATGCACATCTTTGCAGGCCTAATAAGAATTCTGGAAAAAGTAAATATTTATCAATATTAACCTTACTTGCTAACCTTGTCATGGACATGCAAATGAACATTCAAAAGAAAAGAGAAATTGAAGAAGATTATGAAGGAAAACATAAATTAATAATCCACAAACTGGATAATTTGCTTCTGAAAAGTCACTATTAGTATAACTTCTCATGAAATATTAAAATAATCCTTATACAGTCCCCAAAGTACTTGTCTTTGCCTTTCTTGATGGTTAGGATTAAGACCACATTCTCCCTCTATAAGACCCACTCCCATGCCCTATCACTAGCTAGTTGTTGTCACAATTTTGACACTACTAATAGGAACAATTATTTAAGCACTTCTGAAAGTTTATTAAATTTACCTGTGGCCAATAGTCATGATTACCCAGTGCAGGGAAAACCTGGAGATTTGGAAAGAGACTCTGGATGGTGACTGTCATATTAGCGATCACATTTATAACAGTATCTGTTGAGAGTTCAGGTACAGGAACATGAGGTGGGCTATCCCTGAAAAAGAGACAGATTGTAAAGAACAAAATCAGTTTCATAAAGAGTTACTAGACTTATGCATGATGCCTTGCTATACCTATTATTGCAGACTTCCATTTTAAAACAGCAGATTACAGCTAAAGAGTTGATAGACTACTCTTCACCTACCTCTTCCCTACAGAGAATCCTATAAAAGAAAATTAACAAAATAAAATACAAAAAATAAGCTGGGAATCCCAGTCTATTTCACTGCCTGACTGAAGATTTATAAGAGGCTAAAAACTGCAATAATTAAAAGCAGATGCCAATTGAACCAGAGCCCAAATGCCTATTTCAAATCCCAGTTTTGCCAATTACCAACTGCATATACTCAGGTAGGTTACTTAGATGTTCAGTGCCTTCATTTCCTCATCTGTAAAATGGGAATAATAATACCCATTGTAAAAATTAAATAAGTTACAATGTATAAGTTAATTAAAACAGTGCCAAGCCCGAAGTAAATACTCTACAAATATTAGTTACGGTCATTATTCCAGATAAAGAAATATGGGCCTCTTCACTCTATAATGATGAAGGGAACCAGTTAGTTATACTGCCAGAAGATGATGCTTTACAAAATTGTCATGACAGGTAAACTTCCATTATTGTCTTTCATCTTTGATAATTTCATGAAGACCTAGTATCAACATCTCAAGATATTGATGCAAGTATGCTGTTTATGGATCCATCTCTTAGTTAACACTGACATATTTCTGAAACCTGTATTCCAGAAAAAAAAAAAAAACTTCTAAAATTGTTCTTACTTCTATTAATGTTGATTCGTTTGACCTAGAGTTTTTTAACTCAAATAACTCTTAAAATGTAACTAATCTTCTTATGGAATTCAGCACTCTTATGAAGCTTAGGACACTGTAAATAAATATTGAGTAATTAATGGTACTTATATAATCACTTACCCTGTCCATATCATGAAAGACGCTTCTTGTCCAGAATTTTTAATAAAATCAAATGCTGACAAAATAAGTTGATATGGAGAATCACACAGAACATCTCCAAAAGGGCCAGGGTTGGAGGCATTTGCACCTTTAGATGAAGCACACACTTTTGTGTGGTCATCTGTGATGTGGTAAGTAGGGTCTAAGTGTAAGTCAGTCACATGCCAAAACTGTCCTGTTGATTAGACAAAAAACGCAGATAAATCTACTTGTTCTCCTTTGGAATTCTCATATAAATATTTATAAAAAGACTAGAGACGGTTGTTCCTCCCTGTGATGGAGGAAAGTCTTGGTAATTTAAATGTTCATACGCCTTGAAGTTAAATACAATCCTTCTCTGTGAGAAGATCAGCTTCAAGGAACTGCGGGAACAATTTACTACTTAAGTGTGTCAGAACTGATGAGCTCAGGCCAGGCGAGATTCCTCATGCCTGTAATCCCAGCACTTTGGGAGGCTGAAGCAGGCAGATCACTTGAGGTCAGGAGTTGGAGACCAGCCTGGCCAATATGGGGAAACCCTATCTCTACCAAAAATATAAAAAAATTAGCCGAGTGTGGTGGTACACACCTGTAATCTCAGCTGCTCAGGAGGCTGAGGTGGGAGAATCGCTTAAACCCGGGAAGCAGA